TGTAAGCATCCTCTCGTGAATCGCAAATGCCTTTCTTTGCATAGGGCATAAGCGTCGTTCATCGCATTCCAAGCCACCAGATCTCTCTGCCCCAACTTCTTAAGACTCTCGCCAGCCAATCGAGCCTCCTGGAGCGATCCATACATTCTCAGAAGGTCTGTCGCAATCTGCAAAACTCAGGATCGATCAAGCAAGGTTCCAGCCTCAAGTAAGACCTCACTAGGCTAAGATCACCAAGAGAATTAAATCCCTAGAGAAGATGTTCCGCCCGAGCGTCGTTGGCGCTGCCACATTTGCCATACAACTCCACGAGTACCAAACTCTCTAAAGATATTTCAATCTCTTTGGTAACTCGAAATATGGATATGGAACTAGTTTTAGATGTGATAGCTCTTGTTCAAGAGATTGGGATCCATTATATAAACTTTGGCCTCCAACACTTCTACAGATCCATCAGCTGTGATGGCTTCTTGGTCTGGAACTGTTCTTGCAATCTTTGCTCTTTTGCTTAACATTGTGCTGCTTTCTCAGGCACGAGCAACGCCAGCAACGCCAAAGTCGAGCTCGTCGATCTGTCCAACCGCAGTCTTCACCTTTGCAGATTCTCTCAGCGATGGCGGCAACCGCGACATTGAAGCCGGTGGCGGCAAGACCCTATCGGGCAGGTACCCATACGGGATCACCTACGGGAAGCCCACTGGACGCTACTGCGACGGGCTCGTCATCCCCGACCTCCTGCTCCAGAAGCTCCGCCTCGACAACCTTGGAACTCCCAGCCTCAAGTACAATGGCACCGAGTTCGAGAGCCTCAACTTTGGATACGCCGGAGCCACGGTGATCAAGGTCGAGAACCAGCCATACTCGAGCCCACATGTCTTGTCCGCCCAGGTTGACGACTTCGTGCGCCACCAGGAGTTTGTCGAGGGTCGATATGGTCGCCAGGCGAGCAAACCATGGTACGAGAATGCACTCTACTCGGTCGAGATTGGAGGGGACGATATCAACTTTGGTTTGCCACTGGGAGGCGGCTACGTGATCAACGTCACCATCCCGGCCGTGATCCAAGGCCTGGCCGATGGAATTCAGAAGTTATATGCTCACGGAGCTCGTCATGTTGTGCTCTACAACATGCCCCGTGCCGATTGCTCTCCAAACTATCTCCAATCTTTCCAACAGTACCCCGCTGGTACATTCCACTATGACAAGGATGGTTGCATTGTTGAGATTGCCCAGATTATCTCTTACCTCAACACCAACATCCAGAGGCTGTCGGAGGAGCTGACGCAAAAATACCAGGGTCTCACTGTGTATTATTTCGATTGGTTTGCAGCAAACACCTATGTTTTGGAGAATATGAAGGAGTTTGGCTTCACGAACTCGCTCCAGTCATGCTGCGGTGGAGGTGGCAAGTTTAACTGTGATGGTGAGGGTCTTTGCGGGTGTGCTCCACTGAACCAGACCAATGCTGCTTACACGGTGTGTAAGGATCCCAGCAAGTATTTCACTTTTGATGGCATTCACTACACAGAGCACTTTTACGAGATCATGTCCGAATATATCATGGCTGGAGAGTACATCACACCAAAGGTGAAGCTGGAGATGGGTTGCAAGGTCGTCACTGTACCAGAAAGTCCTCTTTGAAACAAAGGAGTAACCAAGTTCATGTAATTCACACAAACTCACTTTTCTAATTTAACCCATATTCGAGCATTGCCTTTTTGATTAAAGCTCCGCAAATCTCCCCTCTCAAGAACGGTCACGATGGTTGAAGGGAATCTCCTCGAGGATCAGCCGCTCACCCTTGCCTTGTGATCGCCCATCTCGCCTCAGCCTAGCGCGTCACCTCACAACATGGCGTTGTGCTCGGGCATGGAATCAAACACGCAATGCCTGGAACGCCGCCGTGGAGCTGATGAGATCCATCTCGGGCATCGAATGGAAGAGCTGCTGCCTGGTCCAGGATAGCACGCATAGATAAGAACAGGGTTTCCGTCCCGGCTCGTGCCCATACATTGTGGGAACTTCTGGAAGAAATTGAGGGCCTGATCGATTCAGGAGTTTTGGATCGATCACTGTCCAGGATACCGTACCATATACAACATCCGGGGACATTGAGGCCTGATCGCCGTCCATGATGCTATGGACTTCTCTTTAGACAACGCGTCAAACACTGCCTGGATTCCCCTAGATGCCCGTTTTGGGCAAATGCTGCAATTAGTCCGGTCCAAGTGATTTTACTCATTTCCGGCATTTGATAGACAGTAATAAACTTATTATAAGCGACTGGGATGAGGAGATTGAAGAGGAATCTATAGAGTAGCCGCTGTAGTGGTTTGATCGAGATCGCCGGAGCCCCCAAACTCTCATTGTAGAGGTAAGCTTTTACATTTTAACTTAATCATATTGAAGTTATTGTCTAAAACCATCCAAGCTCAGTTTGGGAGAGCGTCAGACTGGATCTGAAGGCCGCGTGTTCGATCCACGCTCACCGCATTATCTTTGATTCGTTGTTAGCTGGTGTGGAGGAGCTTCTTGATCTTTCGAGCCTGAAGAAAAAAGAAAACGAAGAAACATAAAAAATGAGAGAAAATATGTTGTCTAGCCGAGGTCGTCCTTTGCAGCCACCAAGCTCACATCTGCAAGTCCACAACTCAAAACGATGAAAAACCATGGTTTTATGTTCCTGGGCCATAACGGCCCGCGGGCAGCCTGGTGACATATGTGGCAAAGATTGCTCTGGATCTAGTTATTTCCACGATCCATCCAGCAAGGTGCAACCATTAGGGGACAGCGACTCACGGATTCAAGCTGCTCCTTGAATTTGTTCTGTGGTTGGTCTACTGGAGCTGAGAAAGCTCAAGCAACAATTGGATTTTCATCAAGACCAGTCAGTAACTACTTTTGCGCTTGAGTAGAGGGAATAGGCGAAAAGGTTTTTCATTGACGCCCGAAAGGTACGGACTGAAACGATAACAGCATTTGCCCGAAACGGGCAACTCGAAGAAGTGTTTCACGCGCGCTGCTCCTGGTGAGTAGCAAGCAGCTCGAATCGTGTTTTGGTTCGATATTTTATCTTTTTTGCGGCGGAGAGATTTCGTGTGGATCGGATGTGAGTCCCAATGCGGCATTGGAGCTGCTCCAGTGCCAAGCTTACTTGGTTCAAAAATGTCTCGCCCAGGCTCAGCTCATCTTCTAGCAGCTCAGAAGAATTTGCTAGTCTCGGAATGGATGACCTCTTCTTCCTGCAGCAGTGAAGAAAGGAGTTCTTCCTTCTGACGTAAGTGATTGGTATGAGGAGGAAGAACTCTCTATATATATAACTGTATATGATTGTGTACATATACATAAAGCTACTGCCACGTGGGCATAACTACTGCCACATCATCTCTACCTCTAACACTCCCACTCACGATCAGGCGGCTGATTCCAGTCTGAATCTAAGCCTGAATCGTGCCTAGCTAGTCTGAGATGATGAGCATGGAGAGCTGATGAGAAAAGCATATGAAAAACTCATCAATCAACTACCCAAAACTTGGTTCTTGGTCTTGGACTTGCTTGCACACTCTTTGCTTCTTGCTATGGCTTCAATCTTGCCTCTAGCATGAGGTCTTGGCCGTGAACTGCCAGGCTCCCACTTCTCTGCGACTAGGCACTTGAATCTCCATAAACATCCTTCCCAATTGCTGGAAATTCCTGCAAAGAATTGCTATGCAATGTTCTTGAATCTTGACCCAATTCTTGATGTGGGTTGGTGAAATCTCTCAATCTCCCACTGGCTTTGTTCTCTACTTGCTGCTGCTTGTTGCTCAGCACCTCTACACAGCCTGGTGCCTTGGTGCAACGCCTCAAGCGTCCCAAACATTGCAAGAGGGATTGCAATTGGGAGGCTCATCCTCCTCCTCATCACTGGCCTCCTGGCCAGCAAGCGCCATTCTCAGGATCAAGGAGCCCAAGGCTCCGATACCATGTTAGCAGCGGAGAGACGCGCACACGAGGAGGAAGAACTCTCTATATATATAACTGTATATGATTGTGTACATATACATAAAGCTACTGCCACGTGGGCATAACTACTGCCACATCATCTCTACCTCTAACAATGACTTGATTTGTACCCGATGTCACTAGTTGACAACAGGGTTCTAGCTGCAATCGTCCAGGTGCTACAGCAATGTCGGCCTCATGTTATCATCACTAGTCGTTTGGCCGATGTTGCGCTTTCCTGGGCGGATGGTAAGAAACTAGTTTTGGCAACCTGTGATTCATCTGCGACAAATGTTTTCGAGCTTGGCTGGATCTGGAAGCTTGCTCAAGGTGCAGTCGCTGCTCATGTGGATGCCAGGAGGATACTACGTGCATCCAGGTTGTGCTTCAAAGCTGTTAACTTTAAAAAAGAAATGCAGGTGACAAGCTTCCAAGTATTCTGTTTCCTGATGTTTCGCTGCCATACGCTGACATTTTCTGAGACGGAAAACTGATTGTCACCAATCAACGACGCTACTATATCGGCATTTGCAGCAGGATCTACAAAAAAGATTGTTTTTCGTATATCACCACGGACTCCTTACCTTATCCCATCTGTAAGAAAGGTTGCGGAGAAATCGGCTTGAGCGTGCCAATCTATCCGGTAGACTGGTTTGGTGGCTGTGTCGAAGACGCGGTGAAGGATGTATCGAGCCTTGACATGCAAAACTGCCGCTCGTAGTCCAAGTTGATTTGTGGACTGATGCACTCTCGAAGAAGAACCAGGCTGGTCTCAGCGTGGAAACCATACCATATGATCGGACATCAACCATGTCCACTAAGCAACATCGTCCCACTAAAAGATCTTCGCTCCAGAGGAAATTCCAAAGCAGTTCAGTACAACAGCCACGGGTTTAGTCCGATTCCAGTCGTAAGTTCCTCGCTGTTCTTAGTTCAGTTTCAACTTTTGTGACAACACCAGGCTAAGGGTAAGTGGTGCGACGAGAATGGATTTCCATGAGGAAATCACTGGCAGGTTTGAAAATGATTCCTGCTCCATCTTTCATTATTTATATGAACAGGAGTTTCATAGCCGCCGGGTTACAAAATCGTTGTGTGTTCCTCAGTTGTAGGACATTGGAGTCAAGTTTGTTGGAGAAGGTCCGTTTACGACCACACCCTGTGCATCAAACTGCGATCCATGGCAAGGGCAGTCGAACGTCTTATCGCTCGGGTTCCACTTGACGGCGCAGCCTAAGTGCGGACATATAGCTGTGCAGAGAAATTGTAAACTTTTAGAACATGAAAGGAGCGTTTCTTCCATACCGGAATATCTCTGCACGTTCCCTGAAGAGTCTCTATATACTGCTTCTTTGTTCAATCCTTCTTGGATGATAGCTCCCTCGTCAAGTAGGATGCTGTCCACGGTGAGCTTCGTCAGTCCTTGTCCCGGGAGGACGTTTTTAAAACCCTGTAATGAAGTGTCAGGAGCTTGAACTTAATCCGAGTGAAAACAGAAGTTACCTCAATATTCTCCCCGACTTCTTGGGCAAGCATTTGGGCCGAGGTCAGTGAAGCCGGAGGGAACCGAGAAGGATCAAAGAGGTCGCCCCATCTGTGCTTGTGTCCGAGAATCGAATTCGAAATCACTACACCAGCTATAGTGCCACCAGTCATTCCCTGGCCGCTGTCACCTGAATCAAACATACTCGAATCCGTAAACACAAACATTTGTCTAAGAACGGGCAACACTCACCGGTCGCAACATAAACATTCTCGGTGTTCAATGGATCATGACCGTGTAGATGGAGGAAATCTGATGGCATATAGACCTAGTAAAATGAAACAAGTTAGACTTGTTCACCAATCTCAGACCAACCTGGCCAGACCACTTGTACAGTAGCTCCTGAGCTGCAGGCCAGTGAGAACGAGCCCATGCCTCTAGACTGCCATGCCGGTCCAAGTATTGATTCGGCTCAATTCCAACTTTGTGATCCTCTCCACCAACGACCAAGACTTCATAGTCGTCCTTGTCCTCAAGCCTTACGTAATGGTAAGGAGAGGCTGTATCCCACCATGAGGCGCGGCTGTAGGAAAAAACACACCTCTATAGTATTCAAAGAAAAAGCAATTTCTTACTTGATAGCTCCCTTGGGAACTTTGAGGCCAACCACGTAGCTTCGTCGTGCGTACTGTCGAGCATGAATTGCCAAGTTTTTGTTGATGGGGGAGTTTGTAGCTAAGACGAGAGCCTTGGCTGTGACGGTGTGACCTCCGTCCGTTACGACTTTGGTCCCTTCATGTTGAACGACTGATGTCTGCTCGAAGATTTGAGCTCCATGCTTCTTGGCTGCCTCTGCCAGCCCCTTGACATACCTTTCCAGAAGGTGTGTTTCAGCTCGTGCAAAGCAATGAAAGGGGAAGAAACGGGCTTACAATATCGGCTGGAACTCCCCCGCGTTTGGAAAGACAAGGGCCATGCCAAAATTTCCGTTTTTGGGATCGTGTTTCAAATCCTCGAGCCGCACGTCATTTAAACCCGCTCGTTTGCATGCTTCGTACTCCTGGAATCAACCCGGGTGATCAGAAAATCAGGTCCACAAAACATGCTTGGTCTCTACCTTACGGAGTTTTTCAGCATTCTGTTGGTCGTCTTCAACTGGCACAAGGTACCCTGGAAGTCTTCTAAAATTGCATTCAATACCCTCTTCCTTGACGACATTCTCTATCCAATCAATCGAGCCATGTTGTGCATCAGCAATGAGGTTCAATTTATCACTCCCGAGGGTGCTCTCTGCTTCGAAGTAGTAGTCATCAAACCATGGCATAAGATGTGCAGTTGTCTTGCCCGTTTGGCCGCTTCCTAAAGTTTTCTGTTGCTATAAGTGAACAATAGCACAAACGAAACTCACCTATCGCACGAGCCTCCAAGACTACAACCTGTTTGCCAGCTTTGGCAAGATTGTAGGCTACGCTTATGCCAGCGATTCCTCCTCCAACCACAACGACATCTGCATGCGTGTTCTGCTGAAGCTTCGGGTTGCTTGGCACAGCAAGCTGCTTTTGGTCCCATACTGTATCTCGAACACCTGGTACTGCACCCTTGCCTGTGGAAGGCGTAGATCCCTAATACAATACACTGAACAATTGAGCCACATGAACCCAGGAAAACCACAAATCGACCCTTACCTGCTTCTCAGTCTGCAGCGTACACCTTGCGGTATTTTTACTCCATCTCCCGAGCGGGATTTTCTTCGTGGGGATGTCACTGATGCCAAGCTTCCTAAACGTTGAACTTGGAATCGCTACGCAGTGCAGACAGTGCGCCATTCTAGGCAACCAATGTAGAGCCTCTGCTATTTAGATGCCTCCCATTGCATGCCTTGAGACAAGCGCCGGTTCCTGAGGCATCCATGCGTCGAGGGCTGAACTCTCCAGGTGGGTTCCTTCTGTGGAGAATAAAACGCCACCTGCAGATCCAAAGATTTGTCGCTTTGATCTGCTCTTAGGAGCAAAAGCAACGAAGCATCAAATAATACTCGTGACAGCCTCAAAATCTTGACGCATGGAGGCCCTAGCAATTAAGACCAAGGCTGCAGCCGGTTTGAAAGCCTCACTGCGCTGCCGTAACACCCTTTAAATCAGAGGCTAGCGATGAGTTGCAAGTGACGAACATCGACACAGAAAGTCAGGCATGTCATCGGGAGAACTTGTTACGGGCTTCGCGAGAACGTTGCAGGAGCTTCAAGTCTTTGCATGTCGCCGGATGCGAGTACGTGCACACCGAATGGCCCCGCGACGCGAGCTCGGTGCTGGGAACGTCTCATAACAGTACTGACTGGAATGCCGGCTAAAGAAAGAAAATATAAAAAGGTAAAAAGTAAAAACTGACTCAATTCCACAATCCCTGGAACTTTCATCTGATTCAATTTGAAAGTGAATTGAATAGAAAAAAGAAAATTCCAAAAAGAAAAACAACAGAACAGAAAAAGCTCCTGTTCTTATAGTAAGTCTTTGAAGCGCAAAGCGGAACAGATATCCAAGTTCGTCCAGATGGCGGTTCGAGGCAAATGCTGTTTATCATCTGATTCACTACTTTCCAGAATTCAACCAAACAAACTTTTAGCCTCTTTCACTCGCCAAGCACGCGTAGGCAATGATCATTTGATTCTCATACTGAGCTTAATCCAGATGCCCGTTTTGGCTTCGATCACAATAGATTGGGGCGATCACGGAGAAGACGCCGCGCGCATCTACTGCTTGGAGCTGCCCCAGGAAATCTCATCTGAAAACGTTATTGCCTCCTCCGTCCTCCTTGTCATTAGAAGATCCCACAGATACTAGGAGGAGATTGAAGAGGAACTCGTTAGAGTAGCCGCTGTACAACATCTGGGAGTGGATCCTCCGGAGTTCGAGCGTCACAAAGAAGAACTGCTGTGAATTGGACTAATGTTATTAAGCTCAAGCGGGGATAGCTCAGTTGGGAGAGCGTCAGACTGAAGATCTGAAGGTCGCGTGTTCGATCCACGCTCACCGCATTCATCAACTTTTCAAGTGGTTGTGCTGCAACTAATCTTAATCTTAAATGCGTGATTTTCGGAGCAGACGCGAGCAACCTATTCAGAGCTAGAAAACTGCTCGCGTTCTGGCAAAGATGCTACAAAGAAAAAATTCAAACTTCAAAGAACAAAAATTCTACTCCATCAGTCGGGGGTGCGTAGTGTGGGTACTTCTTCTTTCTGTGTTTTCATTGGTTTGGAACTCGGTATGTTTCAGCGAGTGAATTGACAGCTTTATCATCTTGTCTTTATGTAGTCCACTGTTATGCACGATGGAGCCAAACTCGTCTTCCTGGACACAACTTTCCCCGGGAGACTGTAGGCTCGTTTTCCGGGCGATGGATCAAAAGGATATCATCTCCTAATGTTTGCAGAGCTTACGTTTGGGTTGAGCGTCTCAGTGGCAGTGCAAGATCCATCCTATCCGGTAAGCTCTTTTTCCGTTTGCTCTCTTCTTGTTTCTTCTTTTCCAGTTGTTTCACAGCCAAAAGAGTTTTCGGTTATGTTGTCACGGTTGTGATGATCGGACAAACCAGCACTTTCCAAAAGGAAAACACTATCCATACTTATGGAAACATCGTCTACATGAAATGCACATCTACTATACGATTCGGACGACTGTCCTAAGACCATCACAAGAAAAGTCATTTATATTTTGGAGAGAACTAAACGAGTGAAAAATAGGTGGCCATAGAGACTGGATCCCTCCAAATACGCTGCATTCTAGCTGATAGTCGTCCCCAATCAGCTGCTCTATACCGATGGCTTTCCAGTAAGAAACGTCTTTAACCGTGTTATATGCACTTGCTTCAATGGAGCGTCCAACACTGCTCAAACAGGAGGCTTGGACACACGAGTGATAGTAAGCAAGTCTGACCTCAGGTTCTGCTCCACCTCCAAATCATCCACAAGCTAATACCTCCAGAGGATCTCAAGGTCTGTCAATCTTTCTCCTCGAGTTTTAAGAAGTTTGTCCTTCTACTGGGATCTTGGTTATCTCCTAAGGTTTCTAAGCAATGGACGGCGTTATTGCTTTCTACAAAGACACCACGAGAATCCTTGTTAACACTCTCGGATTTCAAACTTATGGAGGCACACGCTCCATACGTGATGTTTTCTCGGAAATCCTAGAGGTATTTAGCAGTATTGTAATTTGTAACAAAATTGGGGCAGGCATTTTATGGCGGATGGTCATATTTGAAAGACTTGTGGGGTGGAGTTCCCTCCAACATCCTCCCAAGGCCCGCCTTCGTCGTGTATTATTTGCTCCGATGATCGCCAGTTCGTTCCAAGGTATGCCCATCTAAGATTTTTGCCCTCTGACTTTTAGTTTTAGGGAAGGCCAGGTATGGACGTCCATGAGCAAGATGAGATTGCAGTTTCGCAATGGTTTCAAGAAGCATGAGCCGCAGGTCTTCGAGATCATAACCTTTCCAAAGTTTGGCATTGGACAGCGTGCGTTTCTCATCCAGACTCAAGGTATGTTTGGAGCTATGGCCGTTGTGCATTTTTTATGGTTTTTATGTTTTTGATAGAGGGAAACATACTGTGGGACTGCATCTCATTTCTAGACGATGCCACAGTGGAGATAATCAAGTCGCTAGGTGGATTGAGAGCGATTGCCATCTCTCACCCGCATTACTACAGCACAAACTCTCGATGGAGCGAGGCTTTTGGAGGTGTCCCGGTTTATATCCACGAATGGTATTGTCTACCTTTGTTTCTCTCTTTCATTTCGATTTCTCTGTATTGATACTATGGCAGGGATAAGAAATGGGTGGTTTACCAGCACGAAAACGTAAAGTTCTGGAAGGGCAAAACATTCCAGCTATGGGAGGGAGTCACGCTTTTACATTTAGGTGGCCATTTTGCTGGTGCTCAAATCCTCCACTGGTCTCATGGAGCGCAGGGGAGGGGTGTTTTATTCACTGGAGATATCTTACAGGTATAAACTTCTCTTGTTTACAAACTTTGTTTTCGTTTTTTTTCCTCACTCCATGTTTGATTTGTAGGTGGGGATGGACAACAAAACAGTGAGCATAATGAGATCGTACCCAAACTATATACCACTCTCGTCGAGCCACGCTAAAAGGATAGGCCAGTTAATCGAGCCATGGGATTTTGAGAGGCTCTACGGTGCATTTCAGGACAGAGAGATTGAAGAAAATGCAAAGAGCTGCGTCGTATTCTCTCTGCAAAGGTATACTGATTGGCTATCTTTGGATGATGATGCTGCTTAAGTATTAATCAGACTGAAACTCGAGATGCTTTTCTGATTATGATTTGCCATGACATTGTTTCCAAAGTTTAAATTGGACATTTGTTTTCGCGAGGGAAACAATGCCACAATCAATTTAGCGTTACAGCATATGCAATGGATACATGAGTTTTTTTTATAAGATCTTTTGTCTAACCTTTTAGCTTCTTCAATGGTTGTCTTACATTTTCAACTCTTGCAATTTTCTTATGTAGATCTTCAATTCATCATATTTATGCCCTTTTCTATTTTTTAATGCATGGATGACAATTTCAGACTTTGGCTTATCATCCATAATCACCATGTGTCTGAGGTCCCACTTTAATCTTGAAAGATTTTTCACAACCTTTCTAGTGGAATCGTAAAGAATCAACTCCCTAAGGTGTTATAAGCTAAAGAATCCCCAAAAGCACAACTAAAATGATAAAGAATTTATTGGATGAGACCGAGTTTGAGATTGAGTTTGAAACTGACTCTGAGACTGAGTTCAAAACCAAGTCTAATATCAAGTCCAAGATTGACTCCGAAACCAAGTTCGAGACAAAGTCCAATATCAAGTCCAAAATTGACTTTAAAATTGAGTTCGAAACTGAGCCTAAGATCCAAGATCAGGTCTGAGACCAAGTCTAAGATCCAAGATCAAGTTTGAAATCGAGCCTAAGATAGAGTCCGAGGTCAGGTCCAACTATAGTGCTCTTTGCTTATATGGAGTGGTGCCCCACTTAAATACTTTATAGTTCATTAGTCCTTGCCCCTTCTTAAAGGCTTAAGCTTTCCCTTCAGGATGGAAGTGGGGGAGTAAAGGCATTTATACTGAGCTATTATACCATAGTGTTTTCCCTTGGTGCCCCAAAACAAGTGTTGTACCCAAAGCTTGGGATTTTAAAAAGTCCTATGATCAAGTTTTGTTATACCAAAAGATGTTAAAAACTTAGAGGTTTAGTGTGTTTAGCTACTTGTGCATGTGGGGACCTTAAGTTCAATTTAACTCAGGGAGGGGGATTAAAAGAAAATTTGGGAATCTGTTAATGGATGGTTAATGCTCTGTTGTTTGTGAAGTGAGTTGCTGAAACCAAGTAGGACAAAGTAGAAATTAGTACAATAAGCAAAAACTTTAGCAAGGGAATTTAACTAAGGCCAAGGCCATGGTGTTTGGATATACGAGGTAAACTAGTAAATTGGAAAGAAAATAATTGTGATTTACCTTAGTTGAGCACGAATCTCTATAGAAGTGATGGACAAAAAGATTCCCAGTTGGGTTGAGCCTATCTAAGATCTTGTCCACATATGGCTTCACCGCTCGAGTAAAAATCACAATCTCATATATCTTACTCATCTCATTTAGAAATGTATCCATGATTGGCCTGTTTGCCACAACATAGCGCTTCAATAGAATAATTTTCCCACTGAGGAGCTTGAGGGATGCTGTAGCCTTGTGGGCATGAATTAGTGTTTCATCCATATCTAGCACAAGCATGGATTTCTCCTCCAAAGTTGGTAGTAACAGCAAAGAATTGTGTGTCACCTTTACCTTTTTGTTCTTTGTTTTGGTGGTGATGTCAAGTGTTGCAAAACTCCACTCCTCATACTCCCACATCCTCTTCATTGCTCTAAAAAAATATAGAAAGAATGCAAGCTTAAGCTTAATCATAAATAATCTTTATAAATCAAGTTAATACACTTTAGTAAATAGACCATAATTCTGGCCATAGAAATTCAACCATGGTGCCAAACCCAATGCCGAGAGTCTATCAGCAACTGGAGCTCCACATTTGGGATCTTTGTGGATCTTCTGGCAAGCAGCCAGTAGCAAGACCCAAGCAACACTCATGCTGTGGATGAGCTCTTCGGCCAAGAAGAGTGCTGCACTTGCCATCTTGCTATTGTAAGGCATTTGATCAAAAATAAACTATGCATTTTCAAGATGGTTTCTAGAGACGAGCAGATCATTGTCGCCCAAGGGATCTCGTTGCGGTGAGCCATCTTTTGGAAGGAATCTAGTGCCTCGTCCAAATGCCCATTCTCGGCATATGCACAAAGCATGGAGTTCCAAGCCACCACGTCTTTTTCTGGCAGCCTCTCAAAAACACATTTAGCCTCTTCTACGCCGCCATTAGATGCGTAGCCGTCGATCATAGCCGTAAATTCCACCTCATTAAGTTCCGGGGCATTTTCAAAGAGACTCTTTGCTTTCTCCATATGCCCTTCCTGGGCATATGCTGTGATCATGGCCGTCCATGTTACTACATTCTTTGTGCGCATTCTATCTAAGAGCTTTAGCTTCATCTAGCCGCTGATTCTGGCAGTGGCCTTAGATCATGGCCGTCCACGCCAGCACGTCCTTTTGGGCCAGGGAATCGACGCGCGCGTGAGTGATGCCGGTTATGGGCATATGCCACGATCATGGCACGAGGGTTTGCTATGCCGCCTCCGCCTCGCCGAGATTGCCACTCTGCGAGCACATCTCGGTCATCGCGTTCCAGGTGATGGAATTCTTGGCAGGGATGCGATCGAAGAGTCCCCGGCCGCGGCGTATGCCGAGATCATGGCGTTGCTGGACACAATCTCTTGCCGCCCAGGACCGCCTGCTTCCAAGAGAAGAGATAGGTAGAATCGAAGACCGATCGCGCTTTCTCCAGGCAGCCGCAGCGGCCATACATCTGGACGAGGAGATTTCGCAGGAAGACGCTGTTCTTGTGGTCGCTGTGAAGGATCTGGGCATGGATCCGGCAGCCATCGCTGGGATTGTCGCAAGATCTGACGAGGGCGGCAAGCTCTTGGCTTCCATGTCAAGCACCATGGTCCGGGAACGAGGGTGTTTTTGTGTCATATATAAAAGACTCACATTGTCAAATTCACGTAGCACACCAAGTTGTGCCTCTTCAACTCCCAGATACCATCTTTATACATCTTGAGCAGAATCTCCCGAGGCATTGCATTGCCATCCATATTCCAGTGTTTGACGTTTTAGTCGCATTAATATCATTCACTAACTTTGATACCAGTCGAGAATTGTGATACTTGAGCAGCAGAGTCTTCCAAAGAGAGCCAATCGCCATATCTTTGACGACGCAGCTCTTTGCGTTATCCCTGTCTTGATTGAAACGCTAGAGCCTCCCAAAATCCCATGGCTCGATTAACTGTAGCATGGCTTGCCAAAAAGAGGTATCGACGTTTTAGAGGCTTTGAGAAGCTCCCAAAGAAAGACGTGGTGGCGGCGCATATGACGCGAATGATCTCTTCAAAAAGATGTCTCACCGCAACGAGATCTTTTGGACGACACTAGAAACCATCTTGAAAATCCAAAGTTTCTCTTGGATAGGATTAAGAGGCTCCTCCAAGCCTCTTCCAGGGCGTGATGCGATCGCCTGGACGGCAGTGGTGGAAGGTTGGTTCGAGAGAATGGTCAGTGCGAGACTTACCAAAATAAAAAACAACACTTTTTAACTCAAACAGTAGATGTCAAGCCTTACAGGACAGCCAAAGCTGCGGCGGCGGCAGCGATGGCAGTGGCGGTGGAGGTGGCGGAGCACCGAGAAGAACCACTGTCGTCAAATATGATTTGTGAACAGACTGGGCAGTTTGGGAAGATCCCTCCACCACTTCCTTTTGATCCACCGCCTCCTTTCGATCCTCCACCGCTTCCTTTGGATCCTCCACCGCTTCCTTTCGATCCACCGCCTCCTTTCGATCCTCCACTGCTTCCTTTGGATCCTCCACCGCTTCCTTTTGATCCACCACCTCCTTTCAACCCTCCACCGCTTCCTTTTGATCCATCGCCTCCTTTGGATCCTCCACCTCCCCTGCTTAGAGGATCTCTCCTTCCTTCAATTCCCTCTGCGAGCAACAGTAGCGCCACCATCACCACCACCACCATTAACATCTTGACCTGAGCCATGGCTGTTTTTAAAAGGAAACTTTGCTGGATTTATAGAGCTTGTGATTTAGGTCATCTGGGTTTTTAGGTCTAGGGTTTTAGCGATGGAGGAGGAGCGAATGGACGAGGAGGAGGAGGATGTGCGCGACAAGATGGAAAGAATGGAGGTGTCGGACAAGAGGCCAGTGGTGCTGATCGTCATCGGAATGGCCGGTGAGTGCATTGCTCTCCCACCAGGCCGAGAAATTCCCTCTTTCTCCTCCTCCCTTGCGTAGGCAGTGGGAAGACGACGCTGATGCAGCGCCTTGTCGGGGAGATCCACGCCATGAAGCAGCGGCCCTACGTTCTTAATCTCGATCCCGCGGTGCCGTCGGTACCTTACGGCTGTAACATCGACATCCGTGACACTGTCAACTACAAGAATGTGATGAAAGAGTACCGCCTCGGACCGAATGGAGCGATTCTCACATCGCTCAATCTCTTCGCGACGAAGATCGATGAGGTGAGCTAGTGCTTTTTCTTGCGTTGAAAACGAAAGGAGTTCGCGGATCATACTTGCTGGTTTTGTTCTTAGATCGTGAGCCTTGTGGAGAAGAGAGCCAACGAAGTGGACTACGTGCTCATCGACACACCCGGACAGATCGAGATTTTCACTTGGTCGGCGTCGGGCGCGATCGTCACGGAGGCCTTTGCGTGCACCTTTCCGACGTCCGTGATCTACGTTGTGGACACGTCTCGCTCCGTCAGCCCAGTTACGTTCATGAGCAACATGCTCTACGCCTGCAGCATTCTCTACAAGACGCAGCTGCCGTTCATTGTCACGTTTAACAAGACGGACGTGGTGAAGCACCAGTTCGCTCTCGAGGTACCTTTCTGCTTGCCAGGTTGAGACGCGTGTTTCAAAGAGCTTTTCTCGGTGCAGTGGATGAAAGACTTCGAGGCTTTTCAGTTAGCAGTCGAGTCGGACACTTCGTATGCTGCGTCTCTCAGCAAGAGCCTGTGCTTGGTCTTGGACGAGTTTTACAACAACCTTCGATCGGTGGGGGTTTCAGCCATCACTGGATCCGGAATGGTGGAGTTTTTCAAGGCGGTGAAGGAGAGTGCCGAGGAGTACAGGACAGGCTACTTGTAAGTCTTTCTTGGTGTTTGTTTTTTTTTTTTTTTCGCTCTTCGGGTTTATCAAACGAGCATGCTTGAGTAGGGTGGAGCTCGAGAAGAAGAAAGCCGAGAAAGCGAGGCTTGAAGAGAAGCGCCGTCAAGCAGACATGGATCGGCTCCGCAAGGACATTGAAGAGTCGAAAGGAGGCAAGGAGGTTTTGAGCACCAAATCCAGGAAACAAGAAGACGATCCTGATGAAGACGAGGAAGACGAATATGACGACTGACCACTAAATAGGTAGAGTTTTATGTAAAAAAGCTAGCTGGAAAGAAAAATCTTTTGGTTCCAAGGCTCGATCACAGATTTCGCCCACACAAAACGGCTTTGGTTAGGAGCTTATATGTACTGAAAAATGCTATGCAATCAGGTAACTTCCAGGATCAACTCCCAGACTAATTCTGATTAGTGAATCGGCTGCTTATTCTTTTTCATAAGAAGTATATTTTTTTTGTTTGGTTTAGATTTTAGGTTTTTTAAATTTTTGATGGTCGTGATTTATTTTATTAAAAACTATGGTTTAAAAATCTTGATCAAAATGTTTTTTTTTCTCTTAACAACTTATTAATTTGTTGTTATAAACTTCAACAAATTATGACATGATTATCCTCATTGCAATCAGAACAAGATGTCTCAGCTGGATGTTCGACCAGTGATGTACTGTACGTCAAGACAAAGGCTGCATTGGCTAAAAAACTATGCGGACAATGAGGATGTTGATCATTTAAGGTTAGTAATGAAGCAGCTCTTGAAACTACGATCAAGATATTCAAGACTACCTATGTAAAAGTTGAGGTTGAGGTCTAGTTGAAGAAAACTGAAGAGACTTGAAGTGGAAGAAAAAAAACCACTAAACTCTTGTGATTCAACAGGTAAGATAATTAAGATATAGTTAATTCACAATTGAGGAGCATTTGCTATTTTCTAAACAAACTGATCATTCTTATAGCACAATTCTTCACTTGAACAGCCTGAGATGAATATGATAGTGCATAGAGAAGAGTACATATTGGAGGCACTCCAAAGATAAGGCAAGCCCAAACCTGGTGACACTTCCAATGAGAGTTACATGCACAAAAAGAGGAGGTGTATAATAAAGTGGCTAAACAACTTCAAATTTGTCTAGTTTCCACTAATTTAAGATTTTAATAATCTTATTGTTTAAGTGAATGAGCTCATGCACACAGTGGTTTCTTGGTTAATGCTTTGATGGAATTTATGTCTCAAATCTACTTGATTACCAAGGCAAATCTCAACATTATTTCCGAAGATAACACCTTTGACATTGAGGAACTCAATCTCATGGATTTCTTTGCTGAATGGGTATGTCGAGAGAGGACTCCTCAAAGAAGCTAGCAGCTAGCTAGAAGGTAAGACTTCTCTTGCAACTAAGAGCCAGGATTAAGGGATATACAAGCGGGATGCACATGGTTGCCATGTTGTATTCTCTTGATTTGTAAATAAATCTACCAGGGTAAGGAACATACAAAAGTAGTGAGCTATAGTGAACTGAAAAATCCATAGTAGAATGGCATGTAAGGAGTGTTCATATTTTGATCTAGACTGTAAGGCTTGGGATCTACTGTTTGAGTAAAAAAGTGTTTTTTTTTTGTAAGTCTCGCAGTGGCATTCTCTCGAACCAACTTTAAGCCCGCCACCACTGCCGTCCAGGCGATTGCATCATGCCCTGGAGAGGATTGGAGGTGGCAGAGGATATCAAAGAGAAACTTTGGATTTTCAAAATGGTTTCTAGTGTTGCCCAAAATATCTTGTCGTGGTGAACTATCATTTCGAAGAAACCATTCGCGGCATATGCGCACAGCATAGAGTTCCAGGCCACCACGTCCTTCCCTTCAACGTCGATACCTCTTCTAGGCAAGCCATGCTACAGCTAATCGAGCCATGGGATTTTGGGAGGCTCTAGCGTTTCAATCAAGACAGGGATAACGCAAAGAGCTCCGTCGCCAAAGATATAGCGATTGGCTCTCTTTGGAAGACTCTGCTGCTCAAGTATCACAATTATCGGTTGGTATCAAAGTTAATGTATGCTAAAACTTCAAACACTGGAATTTGATGGCAATGCAATGGGAGGGATTCTGCTCGAGATGTAAACTCAATCAAAAGATGTAGAGGCACAGCTTAGTGTGAATTTGACAATGTGAGTCTTGCAAGATGTTCATATATGACACAAAAACATCCTCATTCGATTCTTGGCTGGAGCATTGAAGCCAGGACTTGAACCTCGGACGTCCCACCCCGTCCATCATCCAACGGCCATGATGCGATGCGCGTTCCTGGCGTCTAACTGCTTGCCGCCCTCGTCAGATCTTGCGACAATCCCAGCGATGGAATCCACGCCCAGATCCTTCACAGCGACCACAAGAACAGCGTCCTCCAGCGAAATCTCCTCGTCCAGATGTATGGCCGCTGCGGCTGCCTGAGGAAGCGCGATCGGTCTTCGATTCTACCTCGGATCCCAATCTCTCCTCTTGGATTCTCATCCTCCAGGCCTACATTCGCAACCACGACCTGGAGCAGGCGCGATCGGTCCTGGAAAGCATGCCGCGGCAGGAGATTGTGTCCAGCAACGCCATGATCTCGGCATACGCCACGGCCGGGGACGTGCCGCGCGCCAAGCAGCTCTTCGATCGCATCCCTGCCAAGAATTCCATCATCTGGAACGCGATGATCGAGATGTACTCGCAGAGAGGCCATCTCGGCGAGGCGGAGCGGTATTCCACTCCATGCCGGAGCAAACCCTCGTTTCTAGCACGGCCACGATCGTGGTATATGCCCATAACGGGCATCTCTCAGGCGCGCGCGTGAGGTGTTCGATTCCCTGCCCCAAAAGGACGTGGTGGCGTGGACGGCCATGATCCAAGAACACTGCCAGAACCAGCGGCTGGATGAAGTTAGAGATCTCTTTGATAGAATGCCCACAGGGAATGTAGTAACATGGACGACCATGGTCACAGCATATGCCCAGGCAGGGCATATGGAGAAAGCAAAGAGTCTTTGAAGATGCCCCGGATCGTAATGAGGTGGCATTTACGGCTATGATTGACACCTATGCATCTCATGACTGTGGAAGAGGCTTAAGCTTTGTTTGAGAGGCTGGCAAACAAAGATGTGGTTGTTAGCAGCAGAGAGATGCACACAAGGAAGAACTTTCTCTATGTATTCAAGTGTATATGGATGAAACTACTACCATGTAGGCATAACTAGATGCCACATCATCTCTACCTCTAACAGTGGTGGCCTTGTGCTTTGTGCAAATTGGCATTTGACAAGGCACTAGATTCATTCCAAAGGATGGCTCACTGCAACGAGATTTCTTGGGCGACAATGATTCATATGCTCCATGTTTAAAATTCAAAGTTTATTTTCTATTGAATGCCTTACGATAGCAAGCACAATGCTCATCTCTGGAACAAGAAGTGATAAGCCTCTTCCAGGCGATCAAGGAGCGTGATGCAATCGCCTGGATGGCAATGGTGGCAGGCCTTGCTCGCAAGGGACTCCTTCAAGTTTGGTTCGAGAGAATGCCAGAGTGAGACTTGGTGGCACATAACTCCATAGGATCATCCTGGAGAGTGCAATGTCGTCTTTACGAGCGTGCTTGCGATGTGCTGGCACTGGCCCATGACACCAAGTCGACTCTCAGTGCTGGAGTTGGCATCACGGTCTAATTTCTATGTGCTGCTCGGCTAGAATGATACTAAAGTGTATTAACAAAGATTCTTTAACTTAGGGCTTGCATTCTTTTCTTTTCTTTTTTCAAGAGTCATGAAGAGGGCAAGAGAATATGGAAATTGGAGTTTTGCAATGTTTGACATCACCACCAAAGACAAGAACAAGAAGGTAAAAGTGACACACAATTCTCTATTACTACTATCAGCTTTGGAGGAGAAACCCATGCTTATGTTGGACATAGAGGAGACACTAATCCATGCCCACAAGGCCATAATGTCCTTCAAGTTTTTCAGTGGGAAAACTATTCCACTGAAGAACTACTTTGTGGCAAAGAGGCCAGGTGTGAATACATTTTTAAATGAGATGAGTAAGATATAAAAGATCATGGTTTTTACTTGAGCAGTAAAGCCATATGCAAACAAGATTTTGGATAAACTTGACCCAGCTAGGAATCTCTTCACCCATCGCTGCTATAGAGATTTGTGTTCCACCAAAGAAGTCAAAGGGAGAAAAGTTGTGAAAAATCTTTTGAGATTAAAGTGGGACCTCAAACACACAGTGATTATGGATGATAAGCCAGAGTCCTTTTGTTTGCAACAATGGAATTGTCATCTGCACATTCAAAAACAGGAAAAGGCATATGTATAATGAATTAAAAATGATAAGCAATCTGCTTCAAAAAGTTGCAAGAGTTGACAATGTAAGATAAACATTGGAGAAGTTAAAAAGTTAAACAAAAGATCTCTTAAAAAGAAACTCATGTATCCACTGAACTTTGGAAACAATGTCATGGCAATTCATAATCAGAAAAGCATCTCAAGTTTCAGTCTGATTAATTACTTGAGAGCCAATTGATAATTGTGATATTTAAGCAGCTGCAGCATCATCCAAAGAGAGCCAATCAATATACCTTTGCAGAGAGAATACGACGCAGCTCTTTGGGTTCTCTTCAATCTCTCTGTCATAAAACACACTGTAGAGCCTCTCAAAATCCCATGGCTCAATTAACTGGCCTATCCTTTTAGCATGGCTCGACAAGAGTGGTACATAGTTTGGATATGATCTCATTATGCTCACTGTTTTGTTGTCCATCCCCACTTACAAATCAAACATGGACTGAGGAAAACAAAATGAAAAAAAAATTTGTAAACGAGAGAAGTTTATACCTGTAAGATATCTCCAGTGAATAAAACACCCCTCCCTTGAGGTTCAGTGGAGGATTTGAGCACTAGCAGAATGGTCACCTAAATGTAAAAGCATGAGCCCCTCCTGTAGCTGGAATGTTTTGCCTTCCCAGAACTTCACGTTTTCGTGCTGGTATTTCTTATCCCTGCCAAAGTATCGATACAGAGAGATCGAAATGAAAGACAGAAACAAAGGTAGACAATACCATTCGTGGATATAAACAGGGACACCTCCAAAATCCTCGCCCCCACGAGAGTTTGTGCTGTAGTGTGAGAGATGGCAATCGCTCTCAACCTAGTGACTTGATTATCTCCAGTGTGGCATTGTCTAGAAATGAGATGCAGTCCCACAGTATGTTTCCCTCTATCAAAAACATAAAAACCATAAAAAATGCGCAATGCCATAGCTCCAAACATACCTTGAGTCTGGATGAGAAATGCATTGTCCAATGCCAAACTTTGGAAAGGTTATGATCTCAAATACCTGGGGCTCATGCTTCTTGAAACCATTGCGAAACTGCAATCTCATCTTGCTCATGGACGTCCATGCCTGGCCTTTATATCCAACCGCTGGTTCTGGCAGCGGCCTTGGATCATGGCCGTCCACGCCACCAAGAAATGCGCATTGCATCATGGCCGTTGGATGAAGGACGAGATCGGACGGATGCCATGTCCGGGACGTCCAAGGCTCAAATCCTGGCAAGGCGGATGCTCCATGGTTCTAGGGTTTTGATTGGCGGACGGAGCGAGCGGTCGATCGAGCGGCGGCAGCTATGGGCGGAGGCAATGCGCAGAAATCGAAGATGGCCCGCGATCGGAACTTGGAGAAGGCCAAGGCGAGCGGCAAAGGTGGGCAATTTCTTCTCGGAAAAGAATTTTGCTTGATTTCCATCTCGTTTCTGGCAGGTAGCCAACTCGATTCCAATAAGAAAGCTATGAACATCCAGGTATGAGAACTCTTCCTTCTGGATTGCTCGATGCGCTTGATGGATTTTCGTGCCAATCTTTCCTCTTGGCAGTGCAAGATTTGTATGCAAACGTTTATGTGCACGACGAGTGAGGTGAAATGCAAAGAGCACGCCGAAGCGAAGCATCCCAAGGTCGATCTTCACGCTTGTTTTCCACATCTTAAGAGCTAGAAGGGGAGGATCAAGCTGATCATCTCCACCACCATACCGTAAGAAAAAAAAGAGAGAGAAAATCCACAAAAAAAGAAAGAGAAAAGCTTTTGATGATCCACTAAAGACTTAACGCCGACGATGCTGTATAGAGAAAGAAATTCGCTGTGCATTGTCTAGAGTTCCTGGTGTTCTTGCCTCTTTGCTCGACCGAAAGAGCAAAAGATCGAAATAAAAGATCTAGGGGGGATTCTCGCCGCGTTTTCTTCGAATCCCAGCGATGTGGGCTTCTTCTTTTCGTGGCTGATTCATGAAAGCAAATAGCCCACCATCGCCACCGACGGGATCGTCGTCTCGCCTGGCGTAAATCTCATCGTTCTCGCTAAATCCCAGCTCCTTGAGGTCCTGTTTGCACATCAAGTTCCTAGAATTCTTCCTTCTCTCGGCCACCATTCACGACAAAACGAGAGAAATCTCTTACCTCTCCATGCGGCATTCCAGGTATTTCTTCGAAAGATGCTTGCAGCGATCGGCCAGCATTTGGTTGTTTTTCAAGCACTGCATATACTCTTGCATTGCCTGGAAGAGAAGAGAAGAAAGAAAGTTTGCTCGAAATTGGGCATGGTGATCGATCAATTACCGGCTTGCACTCGTGGAAGTGATCCAGTGGAAATACTCCCTTCTCTGGCGGCACGGGCTTCACTCCCCTGCTCCCTCCAAATGCGCCACCAGCAGCCATGGCATTTCCAAAACCCTAAAAAACTCGATAGTAAAATACCATAGGGCAAAACTATTAAACTCATGAAATTTCAAGCAAGCGATCTACCAACAAGATGGTTGATAATCGATGCTTTAAAATCGCGATTCTCTAAAGTTTGCTTTGTCGATTCGAGATTTCCTATGCATTTAAACTCAACAAACAACGAAGAGTTTGCCTCAAAGAAAAACGTACCACCAGAGCCTAAAACTTTGCTTCGTCCGTGAGAATTTGTTGCCGGGCGTATGGCGATATCGCCGTCACGCCAGAGGCTCGTACGAGAGCATCCACGGGAACATCGGTCTCGTCCACGGGTACAGAGCCATCGACGATTTGAGGAGAGTACGCCAGAGCCACTGCGAGGCGCAGAGAAACGAGCAAAAAAGTTTGTGAGATCATTGAAAGAAAAGAAAAGTGTCAATCGTAAGAGGTTTCAGTACCTAGCAACGGACGTTTCCAGCCTTTTGATTCGTTCGACTCGAGTATTTTCGAAAGCAAACAGTCGTAGTACCTGATCACACGATACAGCTCGGTGTTAGCACGGCGTGAGCACGGAGCGAACGATTGATGCATGCACATTCTTACCCTCCACCACGACCAAGACGTCGCCCGGATAAATCGAAAGCCAAGCCTGCAGTGACAGAGAATTCATCACACCGAGGAAAAAGAGAGAATCGAAACAATAAAGAAGTATAGTGATGTTTCAAGCATACCGGGCAAAAGGAGAAGATCTAAAGGCTCATCCGTGTCTAGAACTGCAAACACACAACAAAAGTTTTGATAGAAAGAACAAGAAAAATAAATAGAACTCACCATCTTCTCTTGGGCTTCCAGATTTATCGACTGGCTCCGGCTCGAGGATCGTCATGGAATTCGGTACCAGATCATCGTAGCTCTTCACGTGAAGCATTTGCATATGGCTTTGCTTGTCTTGTACACGGGGGAGATAAAGCTTCTTGGCTTGCCCTGACCACGATGAGAGGACTCAGATCGAAGAGAGAAAACAAAAGAAAAAGAAGAGAGCGTACCTGGATCATCGGGATTAAAAATGTGAGCGACGATTTTTGTGGTGTCCACCTCTCTCAGTGCGGCACAGCTCACATAGGCGCACAGTCTTTTACTGTTCTTAAACCAGGGAGCGTCGAGGACGTGGTGCTGGATAGCCGCATCTGCAAGATCGAGAAGATTTCCAGATTTGTGAGACTAGAGAGCAGGCCTAGCGGGTTTCCCTGTAAAGAAATATTTCTCACCTTCGATCTGCCGCTGCGCTGCCGCGAATTCCCTCAATTTGCGCCGGACAGCGGTACGCATCTGACGCTTCTCCTGGCGGATCGCATGCTCGGGATTGAGGGCTGCGACATCGGCTCCATTGCCGCCAGCTCCCGCCATCGCCATGAAACGCGAAGAATGCCATCTCGCGAGCAAAGCCCTAACCCCATTAGAACCCCGCATTTTCTGTTTAAAAAACAATAAAAAAGATAAAAAAAAGTTGATTAAGGAAACCAACGGCAAAGATCTCGTGGGGAAGAACCCTAATAGTTTTTGTTTGCGATGGAGAAGGATGCTTTGGCGCCTCGCGAGGCGCCGGCGATGCAGCGGAAGAGGATCGCATTCGCGAGCTACATGTACATTCTTCTCTACATTGTGATTTCCAGCGGCCAGATCTTCTTCAACAAGGTTTGATCAGCTTAGAAAATTTCCAATGCAGGGTAGCGCAATTTCCCTTCGATCCGTGACTGGTAATTTTTTTTTCTCCTTCTTCCATTTGCAGTGGCTGCTGTCTTCCAACCATTTCAATTTCCCATTCCCGGTGTCTCTCACGCTCATACACATGGTGTTCTCATCGGTGCTTTGCTTCGTTGTGATCCATGTCTTTAAGGTAAGAGTTTTTTTAAAAAAAAATTGAGTTAGTTCTTCGAATTCTAAGAATGAGAATGCACAGCTAGTGCCCCTGCCTCAAGGAATGACTTTGGAAATGTAAGAAAGTTTTTGGAATTTCAATCTTTGTGTTGTAACTCTCAAAACCGCAGATACGCTACCTCGGTTTTTCCCATCGGAGCAATGTTTGCGATGACTTTGTGGCTCGGGAACTCGGCCTACCTTTATATCTCCGTGGCTTTTGCTCAGATGCTGAAAGCCATAAGTAAGAAGCTTATAGATCTTTTGTAGTCGAAAGGTGCTGATGCTGTATTTGCAGTGCCCGTTTCCGTTTTTCTCCTTGGAGCCGCATTTGGTCTTGAAAGTCTTACTCTTCGCATGATGTTCATCATGTCGGTAATAAGCTTCGGTGTGCTGGTTGCATCTTACGGCGAGATCAACTTCAACTGGATTGGAGTGATTTATCAGCTTGGCGGGGTTGTTGGGGAGTCAATGCGGCTCATACTGATCGAGATCATGCTGAAGAGGAAGGGATTGAAGCTAGATCCTCTGACGATGATGTACTACGTGAGTCCTTGCAGGTAGGCCTGTACTTCCGTTCTACCAAGAATGACCATTCTTGTTTTTGTTCTTGTTTCAGCGCGTTTTGCCTCTTCATACCCTGGTTGTTGCTAGAGAAGCCGAAGATGGACAGCTCAACGCACTGGAACTTTGATGTCGTTGTTGTGTCTCTCAACGCCCTGTGCACCTTTGCGCTCAACATCTCCGTGTTTCTGGTGATATCGTCTACGAGCGCGCTCACTATCCGTGTGGCTGGCGTTGTGAGAGATTGGATAGTTGTGCTGGTCTCTGGACTAGTATTCCTAGACACGACACTTACTCCCATCAACATCATTGGCTATGTTATCGGTAAGGAACCAATCGTTCTTTTCTCATACAACCGTTATGACTTAACTTCCTATGTCAGCTATCTTTGGCGTTGTGATGTACAACAAACACAAACTCAAACCAGTACAGGCAGCCTCGCAAGAGGAATTACTTCCAGTGTTACAAGGAAAGTGAACACGACTATATTCAAGGCAAGGAAAACACAAACAACAACGCAAAAAGAGAGCGAAAGAAGAGTGAGAGGTATCATTTCTAATGTCTGCTCTGCTTTAGGAATGACCTCAATTGCGGCTTTATTTTCTCTTTCTTTTGCTCCCTGTTGTGCACACTCATTTTTTCCAGGCAGTAGGGTGAATGTGTTGCCGTTGTCATGAAGAATCCGATCATCGTTGTCGTCTTTTAGTAACTCGAAGGTACGGTGTCGGTGCTCAACTTGCTCGCGGAAACTACTGAAATTGTGTGCTTGCAGGGACTTGCGCGTTGGTTGTCTTTTAGGAAAGCATTTTTTAGCCGGAACTGCAAGCGATTAAACTAATATCCTGAAGGGTAACGCGGTCGAGTTTAATTTGCGCTTGCAGGTCGCCCGAAAAGCAATCGATAAAGTTATCTGTTTTGTTGTATAGTGCTTGTTTTTCTCTCGGCTTGCCTTTCGAAGGGCCGGACGCTGCAACCAGATCAAATGTGCACTTTGGTGGTCTGTATCTATAAGGAGGTAATCTGTCAGATTTACGATCTCTAACTTTGTTCTGGCGTTGTCATGCACAGGACACAAAGGAAACAACCACAGTCAAGGACAATAGCGGCTCCAAACTCTCAAGAAAGCATTGTACCGAGTGAGCGTGGAGTCCAGCTCTGTGCAAGCCACAACACCAAGATAAGTCGAAAAAGGACGACGGAAGAAGGAATGCTGTTACGATGCTCAAGAGGTATCATGTCCTTGCACATTTTACTCTAGTTTATATGCTCCACCGTAGTTAATGTAGTCACCTCAGCTTCTACTTTCCATTTCCACAATAATTTGTTTCCCGCTATGCTTACAGTAGCCTTTTTCCAGGGGGTGCTCTGCAAGCAAACTTTTGGAGAGATTTCCTTATATTGGGAAGATCCCGCTTGTTGGTCCCTGACACAAGAATGTGGTGGACGGTCAAGCAGGATCTAAGCAGTGATCTTCTCGCATTTTAGAGCGCTGCAGCACGCAGAGATCTCTTATGTGGACGGAGAGAAGCCACGGAGGTATCCGGAGGTACAAAGGTACGTGACACAAGAAAATGCCCAACTTGTCACAGTTGGCCGACGTCATTGAATTGTTTTCTCACTCTTGTTTCCGTGTTTTCCTTCCGCTGCAGTCGAGGCTTTGCTGGAAATGGTCGAAGATACGAAAGAAGTGCGCCAAAAGCCCAGAGTTTTCCGCTACCTCAGGCAAGTAACCGACAGGCAGCCTTTCTCTTTTGACGCTGGCGTCCCTTCCATTTCGCATTAAAGTCTGAGAGATGCTTGTTGGCCGGGGTGATTCCAGGATTTTCTCAGCGCCTTAAGTTACTCCCTGGGGATTGAAATGGATTGAGAGCAACTTGGCGACGAGAAATCAAATCAAACCAGCGACAGGGTCGGCAGGAACGCAGGGATGTCTGATCTGATGGCCCTGGGCTGCTGCTCCAAAGGTACTTGGAGCTCGCTCCTCTCACTTTCACTTTCCCTCTCTCTCTCTTCTACACTGTTTCCCAGCTAGAAAACTCTCTCCTTTTCCGCCTTGCGTGCGTGGAATCAGAGGAGAAAAGAGGAATGGGGGCCCCGAGGAGGGACCGACGAGTCCCCGCCCTCCACAGTGGAAGAAAAAGAAAGGCATTGTTTTTGGTGACAACGACACTAATCACCAAGTACAATAATGAAAGGCAATTCTTCCATCTGGGACGGAAAGAGCTATGGTGGCTCCACACAGCCTTTCCAAAAGAAGTCGTAAGAACCCTAGCTTTTCAAATTCGAATTGGAATCGGTGGCATATTCCTCGTAGGCTAGGCAATGATTCCCGCTAAAAATAACAGGAAATAGCAAAAAAGTGGGGTAAAAGAAAAATCTGGAAAGAAAAAAAATCTGGAGGGGAATCGAACACGCCTCTGGCGTCCGTCCTTTTCCTTCTTTTCCCGTTCCCGCGGCGCCTTCTTACCGCGGCCGTAAAAAACACTCGGGAGTGGGGTGAAAACGCGCCCATTGGCTGGCGCGCCCATCGAAGGTAATGGAAGGTGCCGCGCCAGATGTTACCCGTCCCATTTAGCCAGCATTTACCGCGGCTCGTATAGCCAAATATTAACTTTTTTCACCCCACGCCGCAAGGTTAAGTCCCCCCAATGCGATGCCCAATTCTCCCATTTACCGCGGGCCTGTACGGGCCACATTTGCAATAATTACCTCCTCGCGGACCCGGCGGCGAAGGCTTCCAAAATTGGCAAAGGCCAACGCTAATTATAGAAAGCCCTAAGCTAAACGGGGCATACGAGATACGGTGCACAGCCTCGGAATAGCCACCGTATGCCCGTGACGGGCGCCGACGGGCGTTGACGGGCATAGCGTAGGCCCGAAAAGTAAAAATGCAGTACAGGGGATTAGATTTTACGTGCACGCCCTTCAACGAGCAATGGGGGCAATTTTTCAAATGAGAAGTGGGGATAAAACTCCATAGGAATGACGAAGGAGCTTCTCTTCTTCTTCTTCTTCTTCCTCTAGATCGCGCTCTTGGGCGCGATAATATTTTAGGTTTCTTTGAGGCGAGCGCGCGGCGCTGGGCGGGGCGCGCTGGCTATGGCGGAAGATTTCTTCTTCTCCGCCTTCGTCGTGCTGTGTGTGTGCATGTATAGGGCGGCGGCGCCGGAATAGGAAAGGGGGCTTAAAAGCAGGGGCGGACGAGCTCTAAAAAGCGCTAGAAGCTCGAAGTGGAAGCCGGAAGTGGAAGCCCGGACGTGGGAGCCGCGACGCAGTAAGCATTGCCTCGCCAAGGATCTCCCTCCCTATCTCTCTTTCCCACCCGCGGCGCCGAGATTTCTTCTTTCCAATGGGCCGCGGGAAAATCGAGATCAAGCGGATAGAGAATGCCACGAATCGGCAGGTTACCTTCTCCAAGCGCCGCGGTGGCCTGCTCAAGAAGGCGCACGAGCTGTCGGTGCTGTGCGATGCCCAGATTGCGCTCATCATCTTCTCCAGCACCGGCAAGCTCTTTGAGTACTCCTCCAGCAGCACCAGGTACGTGTTCTCCGCGAGAATCCATCGAGCGGTAGCTGGCTGGTTTGCTTTCTTTTGGAATTTGCGAGCTGGCATTGCCTGGGCTCTCTCGGACGGATCGATTGCATGGTTGTTTGGGCGCCGTATCGTGTTCTTGGCAGTCAGTCCTGGAGAGAAGGAGATAAAAGCCATCGAAAGGAGAGGCAGCATATTGTTTGTTTTGGCTTGTTGGTGTGGTTTCTGCATTACCCTTTTCAGAAAAAAGTTTGCTGATTCGTGCTTCCTCCTGTTTTTTCTTTCCCTCTGTGGCTTCGATTTGCCGGTTTTTGGTTGGCTGCGTTAAACATCGTTTTCTCGTTGTGGTTTCCTGATTGAAAACTGAGTTTGATGGCGTGTTTACGTCTGTTAACTACTTGTGGTACGATATTTTTCTTGCCTTTCTTTTTGCTGGACATCGCGTGAGCAGATTCTGCGAGCCAATCGGTGGCTGTAAATGCGGCTAAACGCAAGTTGCATCTGTCCTGAAATTGATGCTTGCCGTAGAATCTGTGCGATGGTTGGATGGATGGATGGAGTCGCTCTTTCTGCAATTTCTTTTTTGCCTCTCTCTCTCTCTCTCTTCTCAGTCTCGGGTGGTTTGTCTTGTTTGTTTTTGTGAGTTCCTTCTTCTTCTTTCCCAAAGGAATGGTCTTTGCTGCGGGAAAATCTGGATAAGGTACGTGAGGGAGCCAATTGTGGCCGTGGATGGATTCGGGTGGTGTGTGGATCCAATGGCCGGATCTAGTTTGTCTGCATTGGTTTAGTACAGTTTGCCATGGCTTGCTGGGTAATCTGACGCGTCAGATAAAGTGGGGATTGAGACTGCGGGTCGGAAGGGAAGTTAATTCCCAGTTGTTTGTGTTGCATGTCATTTTCGTCGTGTTTATTTGCGTTTTTGTGCGGTTTTGTTTTTTTTTTTTCTCTCCTTGACTTGGTGGTACTTTTTTCTCTCGCCGTAGAGAGCTTGGAAACTCGTTCACTCACCTTTGTTTCTTTTGGTTCCAAATGAAGCATGAAGGAGATACTGGATCGCTATGGGAGGTACCCCGAGGGAAACCATAACACCAGTATCGTCGATCACGATAATGAGGTGAGTTGAGATGAAGTCTCTTTTGTAGTTTCTCTGTACTGAAAGCTTTGGTGTGTCTTTTATTGTAGCGCTGGGGTCGAGAGCTCATTCGTCTCAAGCAACAAATAGAACAGCTGCAGCAGACTCACCGGTATGCTTCTGCTTGCAGCATCAGAAAAGCAAAACTCTCTAAAGTTTGTTTGCGATTGTCTGCAGCCACATGGTTGGCGAGGATCTCATACACTTAGGCATCAAGGATCTACAGCAGCTAGAGCACCGACTGCTGAGTGGACTTGAACGTATCCGCGCTAGAAAGGTGAGTTCAAACAAAAGCTTGTCTGAATCTATCCGTAACCATGGGGTTGTGCGTTTTAACAGGATCAGCTCATTGCCGAACAGCTCGACGAGCTCCGTAGGAAGGTAAATTCTCATTTTCTCTTTTGTCTCGTGTATGCAAGGTGAAACTAACACATTTTCTTACAGGAGCTTCATCTGCAGAGAGAAAATGACCATCTGAGGCGGAAGGTAACGTTTTTTCTTTTCTTTTCGTGTTTTGTTAACAAGTTTCTTCTAAATTTTCTCTTTTTTTTTTCCTCACGCAGCTCAATGGCATCCACAGCGTAATTGATAGTGGTGGAAAGCCGTTGGCTACCCTCAACGTGGTAGCAACTCCACTGGAGACAAGGGAACCTCCGTCTGTAACTTTGCCATTCTCGATTCATGGCCAGTTAGCTCCATTGCCAGCGTTTGTGGAACACCACCCACAGATGCTGCAGACATCACTGCACTTGGGGTAAGCTAGTTTCTCGTTTTCGCCTTCTTTCTTCGTGCGTAGCGAACTGACGAGAGAAATGGTTTTGTGTTTTTCCTTTCTAGTAGGATGTATGAACCGTTCCCACCCACGGCTAGAAGGTCTTCGAACAGCTCAAGCGATGAAGGCCACAGCCATCGCTCGACTTGAACGACTTAGAGATTTTTCGGGCTCGCAGGGGTAATGTCTCGAAGAGCTCTCTCGCTTCTCGATTTGTTCTAATGGATTGCTCTCGTGGTGTGTAGGTGGTGGAATGATCTGGGAATTGGAAAGCCGTGAAATTGATTCGAGAATTGGAGAAGTGACAACTACTTACTTAGCACCGGGGCTCAAAGTTTTTTCGTTCCGGTGATTGTTCTAGAGGCCAGCAACAGTGACCAAGTCGAGATGGAAATTTTCGAGACGACGCTCTCGACTGGAAAAGAGGCTGCCGGTTTGTATTATCTATATATCTACTTTACGTTAATTTAAAAGGCATTATGCCAACGGTTAGGATCGTGCCACTTGTCGCACATCCGACCGGTCACACCTTTTGTTGGGAAATGCCAGATTAGGGTTCTTGGGGCCTGGGGCGGGGTCTTCGCGTCGTCCAGGTAGAGGATTTGATGGTTAGGAGCAGGGGCAGGATCGTCAATGGCGCCAGTGGATCCTCCGCGAGCAGCCTGTGGCTGGAATTCTCGACGCTCGGCATCCGCAATCTCATTCCAGGGCTCCCGAATGATCTGGCTTGCGTGTGCCTGGCGTGCGTGCCGCTTTGGCAGCACGGCCGCTTGAGATCCGTGTGCCGATCCTGGAACGCGGCGCTGTCGGGCGATTTCATCATCCAGCTCCGCCGGAAGCTGGGCAAGGGCGAGGAGTTCCTCTACCTCTTCCGCGACGATCCGTCGCTCTGCCGCGGCGAGGTGTTTGATCCGCGCGCGCAGCTATGGAGCACATTCTCGCCGATGCCGTGCAATCCCTCGCGCTACAGCATGAGCAACTTCGAGTGCGTGGCCGCGGGGCAGCAGCTCTACGTGCTTGGCGGATCGCTCTTCGACGCCAGGAACTTTCCCATGGATCGTCCTGTGGCTTCCTCCTCGGTCTTCAAGTATGATCCGGTGAGATCACAGTGGGAGCAGTGCCAGGACATGAAAACTCCCAGGGGGAGCTTTGCGTGTGGGATCTTCCAGGGGTGCTTGATCGTGGCTGGCGGTGGATCGCGTCACGCCCAGTTTCGAGCTGGCGGTGACAGGATTTGCGAGGCGGAGAAGTACGATCTGGCAAGAGATTCGTGGGAGAGTCTTCCGGGGCTCCACAGCATCCGGGCCGGGTGCTCGGGATTTTTTGTAGGGGACGAGTTTTGGGTGATCGGTGGCTATGGCGAGGCTCGGACCATTTCCGGGGTCCTGCCGGTTGACGAGCACTACAACGATGGAGAGGTTTTCAGCTTTGGTAGTGGGAGCTGGAGGAAGCTCGAGGCGATGTGGGAGGATGGAGAGAGGCTTCGTCTCGGGAGGATTGCCGTGTTGTATGGAGATGTTGACGGTCTTCCCAGCGTTTTCATGCTGGAGAACTCGAAGCTTCTCAGGTATGGTTGAGTGGTTTCTTTGTTTTCTCGCGTAACATCGATTGTTCTTGGCTTTCTAGATATGACTTTGGATCCAACCGGTGGTATCCAGAGTCCGAGCTTCCATCGCCGCTGGCCGCCGAGAGCTCCTGCCGATTGGTAGGACTGGACGGGGAAGTTTACGTGATTCCTGGCGGCGTGAACGAGCAGCGATACGAGAGGAGTCCTCGTTCGTGGTCCCGGAGCACCACGAGAAGGTGTAACATTCTATTCCAGATTTACCATCCGGTGAAGCGGACATGGCGAGCCGTGGTAACCAAGCCTCCGCTGGATCACCAGCACAATCCACCGTGGGGAGCGATGTGCGTGATGAAGCTGTGATCCACAGAGCAACTCTCTCCGGGTTTGTCGATTGAATCTATTTGTGTATATTAACACTTGTGTATAAAGTTATTTTCCAGCTCAAAGCTCGCTAAGTTCTTATATCAGAGATCGCAAGCTCGTCGTCCCCGACACTTGATATCGTGAGTTTGGATCTGCTGCTTGGCCCAATTCACCGTAGCTTTGGCCAGCGAGTTTGCCGGATCGATGCACTGGAGGAGTAAAGGATCATCGGCCCACAGCGCAGCCGTGAGATCGTCCCCGATGACCCGGTTGACGGCATTCACGAGCAGCATATGGATCGCGACGCGAATGAGGCTCCGGTGTCCCTGGAAGTCTCTCCTCTCGAGAGCCGCCATGGCTGGAACGATGAGACGATCCTTGGAGGCCTTGTCTGGCAGCACAACCTCGAATCCCTGTGGGAAAAAGAGAAGGAAGATCCAACTTATGTCATCAGAAGCTGCTAGCTCTTCGAGGACATCACCTCTTGCTCAAGCTTCTCCTGGTAGAACTCGAGGCCCTGGCAAGTGAGGATCCCAATCCTGGGCCTGGCGGCGCCCTGGAGCGGCCGCAGCTCGGCGCGGTGGAGCTCCTCGACGAGGGAATCGACGACGTTGAGCAGCTTGGCGGAGGAGCCCGAGTCGAGGCACGTAAACCAGCGGAGGGACGAGGGGCAGGGCAGCGCAATGCATTTGGCGCCGGCGTCCTCGAGAAACTCTCGCTGCTGGATGAGAGCGCCGAGGTGGTGGGAGGCGTTTGGATCGCCGCAGAGCACGAGGGGGATGCGGAGGAGGTCGCCCTCGGCCGCTGTGGCCTCCCGGAGCCTCTTGAGGAATTGCAGGGTCGGGACGGAGTGGAATCCTCCGCCCAAGACTCCAACGCTGTGGGGGTAGTGGAGCAGCTGACACGAGGCAAGGCTTTGCATGATCTTACTGGCTTGGGGTGTGTGCAGGTGCTGAGTGCGGTGCGGACTGAGTGCAGGTGCTGCAGGTGTTGAGTTCAGGTGCGGAGAGCGGGATCTGCGGAACTTCTTATTTTTCTGCCCCTTCGAAGCTTGTATGAATGCAAGGAAGATGAGAAAATATTCCTGTCAAGGAATATGCAGACTAGCCAAGTGTCGAGGATTCATAAGGGTACGTGGTTGAATTGATGCTTTTTTTATGTATTTTGTTTTTCCTTGCCTCGCAAGCTGGGCATTATCCGCTCAGCATTGAAAACTGAGGGGGAAAAAAACAAGAATTCTAGTCCATAGACGATGGGATGCAAGGAAAACGATACGAATTGCACGCATGACAAAAGGTGGCGGGTACAAGCATGTGGTCAAATACGTGGTCGGATTATATCAAGCATATTCGCGGACGTCAATCGATCGATCTAAGAGAGAGAGGAGAGAAAGATATTTCTGCATAATGCGGACCATGATCACAAAGCAAAGAAAGAGGCGATGATCAACGAAAAAAACCTATATATAAATGTTAAACTTTCTCTTTCTCACTCTTGATTTCTCTCGAGCTTGATCTAGAGGTCTTGAAACCTCGAGATCCGTCCTACTTGACCATCATCATCTTGACAAACTCCTCGTAGTTGATCTGCCCGTCGCCGTCCACGTCCGCCTCCCGGATCATCTCGTCCACCTCCTCGTCCGTGAGCTTCTCGCCCAGATTCGTCATTACGTGCCGCAGCTCCACCGCGGAGATGAATCCGTTCTGGTCCTTGTCGAACACCCGGAACGCCTCCTTGAGCTCCTCCTCCGAGTCCGTGTCCTTCATCTTGCGCGCCATGAGGCTCAAGAACTCGGCGAAATCGATGGTTCCATTGCCGTCGGCGTCCACCTCGTTGATCATGTCCTGCAGCTCCGCCTCGGTTGGGTTCTGTCCCAGGGATCTCATCACCGTGCCCAGCTCCTTGGTTGTAATGCAGCCTGGCGGATTCCCCGATTGTATCAAAGGATTTAGAGGAATGATCTAAGAACTAGGAAGAACGCGAAGGAAGAACACGAGGAAGAAAGAGTTTTCATCTTCTTACCATCACCATCTTTGTCGAACAAGCTGAAGGCTTCCTTGAACTCCGCCAATTGCTCCTGTGTGAGCTGCTCGGCCGCGGCTGCCATCGCTCACTCTCTCTCTCTCTTCTCGAGCCGCCAAGAGCCCTGCACTGGAAACCATTTCATTTTTCCGTCCGGGAGACACGGGCAAAATCCAAGCGCTTAAGCTACGAATTCAAGGCCCAGATCTAGAGAGTTTGGAGATTTACCTGCGAAGAAGCGATGGAAGTCCGAGACGAAGCTCCAAGCTTGGTGCTGTGATCCTGCGGCGAAGAAGCAAGAAAATCGCGAGAATTTCTTATTTTTAAAAAACCATTGCGGCATCCATAGCGTAACGGGAGGCGCAGTGGGGAAGGGCGTGGTTAGCGGTTTGGTAGCTCCAAAGCGCCAGTGTAAAGGCGCTTTGGTAAAGAACGCGCTGCGTTTCCGCGTTGATGCGGCTGTCGCATTGCCGCGCTGGCGCGCTTTAGGGGGTCCACGCGGAATGGACATTCCGTCTAGGGATATTCTGTCAAGGCCGTTAAAGCCCCGCATAAGCCCTAAACCGTTCGCTAGGGCAAAACTATTTCGAGGATGGAGCGCGCGTTTGCTTCGTCTTCTTCTTCTTCCTTCTCTCCATCTCGTCCGATCGGCCAGCAGCAGCAAGGTAATCCGCGAATGTGATCGGGATTGACCGTGTTCTTGGAGATTTCCAGTCGATCGTCGAGCTGTGCGCTTTAGGCCCTGCATTGACATCCACAATGTAAGGGTTTCAGAGAGAGAGAGATACAATGCTGGATGTGTGCGTTTTTTTGTAGGGAAAGGTGAAGCAAATCGTGGGATCTACTCTGCTGGATTCGTCGCAGTCTTCGCTGGTTGTGAATTTCGAGTCGGAGAAATCGGCTGCCGAGTTTGCTGGAATGTATCGCCGCGATGATCTTCCCGGTGGACACGTGATCATGCTCGGGGGAGATTCTTTGAGCCTGAAAGCAGCGCTCGCGGCACTGGAAGCGTATCCGGGCAAGTGATGTTTTTTTCTTACTATTGCATTTGTTTCTAGGTTTTGACAGCTCTCGTTTCTGCTAGATTTCAGGTGGCTTGCAGATCGGTGGCGGTGTCAACTTGGGGAACGCGAAGTCTTATCTCGATGCTGGAGCGAGTCATGTGATTGTCACCTCGGTAAGTGTTTTATATCAGTCTTATGAGGGAATAACTCCAACTTTGGTTTTTCTAGTTCGTGTTTAAGGACGGCAAGGTCGACACTGAAAGGCTCCAGCGGCTAGTACGCCTAGTTGGCCGGAAGAGGCTCGTTTTGGACCTGAGTTGCAGAAAGAAGGTGAGTAAAACGCAATGCTATGGATAGCTTGTAACATCTGAAACTTTACCAGGATGGAGTGTACATGGTCGTGACCGACCGGTGGCAAAAGTTCAGTGATCTGCCTATCACTGAAGGAACTCTATCCGGTTTGGCGCAATCAGCTGACGAGTTTCTTGTCCATGGGGTGGACGTCGAAGGAAAGCGGTAAGACAAGTAGTAAGAATAGTTTAAGCTGGAATCTTATCGCCACCGCTGCTACCCCAGGCTGGGAATCGACGAGGAGCTTGTCAAGATCTTGGGCCAATGGTCTCCAGTACGTATCATCTTTGACTCTTCATGATCTGGGTGTCTTACTTGTGAGTGACTATTGGTGTAGATCCCGGTTACGTATGCTGGTGGGGTAACATCGCTCGAAGATCTGGATCTCATAAAAAATGCTGGGCGAGGCGTTGTAGACGTGACTGTTGGCTCTGCTCTCGACATATTTGGAGGCAATGTTTCATATTCCGATGTCTTGAGTTGGCACAGAGATCAGCAATCTTAATCTTTGTATAATATTAATCCTGAATTCATTTCCGAGGTTAGGTCGTCTTTTGATCCACCCTAAATTGTAAACGCTATGACCATTCAGTGACCAACACTTCGCATTCTAAAAGTCGGTGGGAGCTTCTGTGTGAGTCTCTGCTCGTGGAGCTTTACCTATGGCTGCCCCTTCTGTTTCCTCATTCCTTTTGCTCCTGTTGTGGAGAAATGGCTCCTTCTCAAAAGCTTCTGCTTGCATTGCTCCTATCGTGCCTGCGCATCACTGCTGCTTTTGCTGCTGGAAATGAAGGTAGCAGTTTTCTTCTCTATAATCTTGATAGTTTCTTACTGTTTGAGCTGGATTTACAGACCATGCGATGGATCAAACAAACACTTGTGGGCTCGATAGAGCTCTGTGCGTGTTTTCCATGATTTTTGGTTGGATGTTTTTTGTATTTCTTTTCAAGGCTAGGCCATGTTATGTTCTTCCCTAGCGATGTTCTGTTCTTTGAGAACTTAACCTAAACAAGTTTTTTTCACTTCCACAAGTCCAAGAACACACTCATTGTAAAACATTACTTGGAAATGCCTGCCATTGTAGCGCAAAGACTGGCCAAGGTGGCTGGACAATTCAAGGCCAAGAACCGAGACTTTCATTTACAACCCAGGCCAGTCTATACCAACCAGTGCCAAAACATTTGCAACTTCGCTTTTAGAAAGAGTGCCGAAAACCATGGCTGGAACTGCCTAGTGCCTATCGCAATTTGGCCAGGTCTTATTAATACTGGCCAGGCACTATTAAGGTGGAGTCATCTTTAGTTGTGAACTCTCAAAGAACATAACATGGCATAAGGCATTACAATGTTAAATACTGATCCTACTGCTGCAATGCCATTTGAACTCCTTGCTATGAACACAAGTTCGCAGGGAAGATCACCCGTAGGTACATTCCAACAAACTTGGCAGCCGATTTCTCTGACTCAAAATTCACAACCACTGAATCCATCAGAGTAGACCCCATCAGTTGCTTCCTTACTCATTGTATTATCTCTACACTCCATAAATAACCCTTACATTGTATGCAGGGGTGAAACCGCACAGCTTGACGATCCGCTGGAATTCTCCCATGTGAATTGCAATCCCAGGAGCACCAATGAGTTCAAAACCGGGGAGATTCTTTGAGCTTGAAAGCAGCGCTCACGGCACTGTTGGGCAAGTAATGTTTAGAAAATGTTTCTTTCTATTACATTGATCTTCTGCTGGCTTGCAGATCGGTGGTGGTGTCAACTTGTGGAACACGACTCGATGCTAGAGCGAGTCATGTGATTGCCAGTGCTTGATCGTCTTAGGTTGGAAGAGGCTTGTTTTGGACCTGAGTTGCAGCAAGAAGGCGAGTAAATTCCTTGTAGTAACATATCTAAAAGAAAATGTCTTGTCAGGATGGAGTATACTGACTGGTGGCAAAAAGTTTAGTGATCTGCCAATCATTGATAGAAACTCTAGCTGGTTTAGCGCAATCTTAACTTTCATGTCCATGAGGTGGATCTCGGAAGGAAAACGTAAGACAAGTAGAATAGTTTAAGCTGGAATCTTACCACCACACCAGGCCGGGAATCGATGAGGAGCTTGTCAACATCTTGGTTTCCAGTACGTATCATCTTGGACTCTTCATGCTTAGTTGTGAGTGACTATTGGTGTAGCTCCCGGTTACGTATGCTGGTGCAGTAACATCGCTCGAAGATCTGGATCTCAACAGAAATGCTGGACTGCTGGCTCTTCTCTCGACATATTTGGAGGCAATGTTTCATATTGCGATGTCTTGAGTTGGGACAGAAATCAGCAAAAAAACTGTTGATTTACTTGTCATAACCTTTGTCTATATCACATTTTTGGTTGTGATGTACTCCCCACTTGGGGAGCAGGGAAATGTGGATCAGGATTCCAAGCATAATTATGTTCATGGTAACGGTAATCAACAATAACTCCAGTAGCTACCATTCAGTGACCAACACTTCACACTGTGTCTCATGGAGCTTTACCTTGTGCTTGCTCATCACTTCTGCTTTTCCTGCTGGAAATGAAGGTAGCAGTTTTCTTCCCTAGAATCTTGATAGTTTCTTACTGTTTTGAGTACACTCGGGCAGGATCTGTACTGTAAAGGAAGGCTAAGATCCACAGAAAAAACGTCATGGAAAACACACAGAGAGTTATACTATTGAGCACTGTAGTTTGCTGATGGATCGCCATGGTCGTCGCTGGTGTGGACACAGAAACTATCGAGATTTTGGAGAAAGAACTAAACAAAACTGCAGCGGCAAAAGCCGCAGTGATGACCAGGCATGAGAGGAGCGATGCAAGCACAAGCTTTCGAGTAGGAGCCATAATTTCTGGAGAGCCAAGAGAAAAGAGAATAGATTGAGCAAACAAAGGGGGCAATCTCCCATAGATAAAGATCCAAGAGCACGAACTCACACAAAAGCTCGCACAAACTTTTACTCCAGTGGCAGTAGTAGCACCTTAACGTTGATAACCATGGTTTCACCACCATGGTTGGAATGATCTACAATGAAACACACCTTCTCAATGCTCAAGTCAGAATAGATATCAGCGAAAGACGAACATCTTGAGGCGAGTTTAGATTGGAGCTAAAGGAAATTTGGAGCTGTTGGATTCTTTCTCAGCCAGCAAACTTCCGCCTTCAGTGACTCAAATCCGCTTTACATCCATGCTGGAGGTCAGAACCAAAGCTACTGAACTCTCTCTGCGTTCCAGAATATGCAATCGAACAAATCTTCAGTTATGTCAAGGTTCGTTCCCAGTAAGTTCAGTTCACTAGTACTGCGCATACTCCTCTCAAACTGTGGATTGCCATTTAAGCGGGACAACGCTCCCACCTCCAAAACCAGCGAGCCTGAGAGAAAAAATCCATGAAATTTTCTACGGCCAGAATTATGGTATATTTAGTAAAGTGTATTTAATTTGATTTATAAAGATCCTTTACAATTAGGGCTTGCGTTCTTTCTTTCTTTTTTATCAGAGCGATGAAGAGGGCGAGAGAATATGGCGATTGGAGTTTTGCAACGCTCGACATGGTGACCAAAGTAAAGAACAAAAAGGTAAAGGTGACACACAGTTCTCCACTACTACCGCCAACTTTGGAGGAGAAACCCATGCTTGTGTTAGACATGGACGAGACACTAATTCATGCCCACAAGGCCACAGCATCCCTCAAGCTCTTCAGTGGGAAGACTCTTCCATTGCAGCGCTACCTTGTCGCAAAGCGGCCAGGTGTGGATACATTTCTAAATGAGATGAGTCAAATATACGAGATCGTGGTTTTTACTCGAGCGGTGAAGCCTTATGCGGACAGGATATTGGATAGGCTCGACCCAGCTGGGAATCTCTTCACCCATCGCCTCTACAGAGATTCATGCTCGCCCAAGGAAGTGGGAGGGAGAAAGGTTGTGAAAGATCTTTCAAGGTTAGGGCGGGACCTCAAACACACGGTGATCGTGGACGACAAGCCAGAGTCCTTTTG